TTATTATGATAAAGATTATTATTAAACTAACCTTTTTTTAAATAGTAATCCATTAGAAACTTGTTTATAAAAAAGCAATAAAGGAATATATGGATTTACTTAAATAGCTAACGTGTATCAACATATTTATTTCAGCATACATCCAATCCATATTTATACTAATTTTATAAAATGTCCGGAATACATTTTGCCTTAACTTGGCGTTAAATTATTAGTTTTATTTCATTAACTTTTGTATAGATCAGGTTAATAATAAAAGCAATTGGATTTTACTCAATGTTTTTGAAGTAATTATTCAGCTTAAATAAAATTGATAAAACCATATAAGACAGTTTAAAAATATATTTAAACCTTTGTTCACTTTTTGAAAATCCATAAAAAAGCAAGTATCAAGTTTATATATCTTTAAAAGAAATTTATTAAAAATTGAGAAAACAATTAAAATTTTCATTAAAAAAGATCAAAACAAATCAAATATACAACATAATATATATTTAAAAAAAAATTACAAAATTAAAATTATAAAAAATTACAAAATAAAAAAAAAAAACACTAAAGAAAAAGCAGCAACCAAAAAGTCATAAATATCTCTACTGATAGAAGACATTTACAACCTTTTGGTTGCTGTTTTTTCTTTGGTGTCTTCCAACACCTCGGTATGGATGAGCCCTCCATTTAAAGGAGGGCTCATCCATTCCGCTATTATCTTTCCATTTGTTGAAGGACCTCTCTGAGAGAGGTCCCGGGTGTTGGAATTCGAATTTGAATTTCAAATTTGATTCATTTCTCCTAAATAATTTTAATCTGGAATAGCATTACTTCTTGCTATAGAATACATTCGTCCTTGTGTAACAGCACTTCTTTCGTTTTGGCGACGATTAACATTATCTCGATCGACCCTATTTCTTTCATTTTGGCGACGATCTACATAACTCCCTGTAAACAAATCCTGTAAAGATTGTGTAATTGGGAAAAGTGGAGGCAAAGCTATCTTACCATTATGGCAACATAGAAAATGTGTTTCATCTGGAAGTTTCTTAGCACCACAGTGCTGACAAGTTTGATTCATTTCTCCTAAATAATTATAATCTGGAATAGTATTACTTCTCGCTATAGAATACAATCGTCGTTGTCCAACAGCTCTTCTTTCATTTTGGCGACGATTAACATTATCTTGATCGAGCCTATTTCTTTCGTTTTGGCGACGATTATTGTTTTCTCGATTAAGCCTTTTTCTTTCATTTTGTAAATTATTAATTTCATCTCGCCTAAATCTATTTCTTTCATTTCGTCTACGACTATTTTCAACACGCCTTATAGCACTTACATCATTTTGTAAATACATAACTTCATCTAGCCTATCATTCATTTCAATGTCATCATTTTGATTAAACATATTTATCAAAGCAACATTATTTATTTCTTTTTTTTACTACTCTAAAGTTAACAATAAAATAAAAAAACTTAATAAATAACTAAAAAAATCTTACTCAAAAAATTAAAAAAAAAATTCTCAAAACAAATATATAAAGAATCCAAACTAATGCAAAATAAAATTAATTTGCCATCGTCAAAAGTAATACACGTTTCTTAAGTTTATTTGGTAGAAGTTAAGAAAAACCTGCAACCATATTAGTAAAAACTTAATACAAAAAGTTAAAATTTATTCTGTTTCTAATAAAGAAAAAAAAATTTAGAAATAAACAACATATCTTCTCAGACAGCGTCATAAGGCATGCGTGGGGAGAAAACATTGAACAAAACGGGTAATAAAACTTATTAACGCGTTATGTACAATAGAAAACGGGTTATTAACGCAGGTTTATAAATTTTTTTCCCCCAACACACTATTACGCTGCCGCAACTCCACGGATATACATAGTTATATATATATATATATATATATATATATATATATATATATATATATATATATATATATATATATATATATATATATATATATATATATATATATATATATATATACTCGAATATATATATATATATATATATATATATATATATATATATATATATATATATATATATATATATATATATTTATATATATATATAGAACATATATATAAAACATATATATAGAACTATTTATTAGCGAAAACATATGAAAACCAAATTTTTTTATATAATATATATAGTATATTTAATAAATAAACCTCTACAATTTTTTTGGTTCAACAACTTGATTATGATTAATAAAACTCTGTAAATATAAATTTTCTAATGATATAAATCTTTATAAATTAGATATTTTATTTTATATCTTAATTTTAAATTAAATAAATTACATTTATCTTAACTATAAATTAAACCTTTATAAATTAGATATAAATAGTAAAACAAACATATAATAACACAATTATATCCTAAACCAAAACTCAATCTAGCAAGGCAAATTATTAAACTTTTTGAAAAGAAAAAAAACATTTTTTTTTTCAAAGAGCCAAAGTATTAACAATGCTATAGAAAAATTTTATTTATAACAAAATGTTGCCATGGCTTTTATCCCAATTATTAAAAGCATTTGAAAGCATGAAACTACCCATTAATATCTTTTAATGGTAGACACCGTCTAAGAATTATAGTAATCTATATTTTCAATATTTACATGTATAACAACGAAGCTTTAATTTTAAAAGTACAATTTAAAAAACTGAAACTTTATTTCTACCTCAAAGAAAACAGATATATATTAAAAATTATTTATATTTCTTTTTAAAAATTTAAAAATACTTTTAAACTTACTCCCTCCAATATAATTATATAATATATATAGTAAATAAATTACAAATAGACAGACATAAATAACACAATAAAATCCTAAACCAAAATTCATTCATGCAAGGCAAATTATTTTATATTTATTGAAGAGCCAGAAACATATTTTTTTTCAAAGAGCAAAAGTATTAACAATATTAAAGATATTTTTATTTATAACAAAATTTTCAATAAATATTAAATTAAGATAAATTTATTACAAAATGTTGTCATGGATTTTATCCCAATAACCAAAACTATGTGAAAGCATGAAACTACCCATAAATATATTTTAACGCTAGACATAATCTAAGAATTAAAGTAATCTATAACACGAAGCTTTAAATTTAAAATTACAATTTAAAAAAGATTACAATAAATTAATGAAACTACTTAAAAAGTGTATTTTACAGATACAGAACCGTACCGTAACTATAAAACAATACGCGTAACTATGCGCACTAATAATAATAATAATATTAATTCGGCTATTAATAATTAAGATGATCTACGTGCACAAATCTTCTATAGTCAACTAATGACTGGAATAAAGCTTTAGTCAGCAATTTTATTACTGACTTAGTATACATTGATTTTCAAAAAGCACTTGATTCTGTACTTTATCTAAAACATTTTAAAAAATATGCAATATACGGCATAATAGATAATCTGCTTCATTGGATATCATCATTTCTTTCTAACAGATATCAAAGGGTTGTAGTTGGAAATTTACTATCTAATTCGACCAGCATCCTAAGTGGAGCTCCGCAGGGTAGCGTTTTGGGTCCAACGTTATTATTGTTATATACTAATGATCTCCCCTCTATAGTAAAGGATCTCAATTGCTTAATAATGTTATATGCTGATGATATCAATCTTTAAAGTTCATTTATGGATGCCGATTACAGTCACGATCTTGCTGTAGCCATGTATAAAGTTTATCTCTGGTCAAATAAATGGCAGTTAAAAGTAGCTAATATAAAGTACTTTACTCATAGAACAGCACCTACTTCATTTTAGAAAGATAAAAATTACAAGTATCAATTAGGAAATCATAATTTAACTTGGTCTACCAATCCAAAAGATCTTAGTTTGACCATGGATTCCTACTTAAATTATAATAATCATATTTTAAATAACGTATGCGCATTAAACATTCGAGTATATCTAATCTTTAAGTGTTTTGAAAGTTGTGATTCACGTGTTATCGTTAAATTCTACACTACTTATATAATTACCGATCTTAGCTCTCCGATTTGGTCCCCTATTTGCACTGAAATGAACAGATCAGTGGAAAGAGAACAAAGACGTTTTACCAAGAGAATTGCTAACCTAAATAACTTTTTATATTCAAATAGACTTTGAATTCTTTGGAACTACTGAAAATTTGTCGCCTTAAGCTAGACATGAACACGTTACAAAGTTCTGAACAATATGGTTTGTCTAAAAAATCAAGTGTCTTTTTATTTAACAACTTTATTACACTTGAGGACATAATTTCAAATTACGCAAACAAAAAAGGTAAAATCGATGTCCGTAAATACTGTTTTTCACTCAGGGTTGTTATAGTTTGGAATAACTTGCCGTCTGACATTGTGAACGCAAAAAATAAAAAAAGCTTCAAAATTAAAATTAACTCTGTCGACTTTAAAAAAGACTGTTCAGCTAACTGGTTTTAGTTTTATAACTGTTTTCTTATATATAATTGAAATATATATTTGTAATTATCTACAATATGTATTATGTGATTGTAGGGCACGTTGTCTTAGTCCTTCGGACCTGCGTGTCCTTTAGAACATGTACCACTGTTCTAATAAATTTTAATCTAATCTTATCTAATCTAACTTTAAATTTTTTTGATAGAATTAGGTTCAAAAGTTTTTGGATTAGGTATGTGTTTATAGCAAGTCGATTTATTTATAAAAAATGTTAACTGGTAAATAGAACAATATTTCTGCATAAACTTGTTGCTTATTATATTATTAAAGTCAATCATTGTCAAATGTTTTAATCTAAATAAAAAAAAAATGAAATAAGTTCAAAATAACATAAGAAATTTAATTTAATAAAATCTTTTAATGTAATTGCAACATGAAAGTAACCGAGTTTTCCACATAAAAAATTATTTGAAAAAAGAAGCATTTGTTAGCTATATGCCTTTCTTTTTTAAAAAAACTTGTAAACTTTAATAAAAAAAAAATGAAAAATAACAAACAAAATGTAAGCATGCATAATTTTTTCAGTGTAAGAAAAGATAATTCTCGATCTATTAAACCATCATTTTCAATTGATAATTTCTTTTAACGATGAGTTTGCATTTGTAGGTTGTTGCTACATATAAAAAAAATATGTTTGTATATATATATATATATATATATTATATATATATATATATATATATATATATATATATGTGTATATATATACACATATGTATATATATATATATATATATATATATATATATATATATATATATATATATATATATATATATATACGGAAAAAAACACATACTGAAACTTTTGAGTCCCTGTGTAATAAGCAAAACTAATAATAATAACATTAAAATTTCACTGACAGGAGGTAATCCACTGTTATTTAGGCAGGTAGCCCTCCTATCCAGTAATTTAAATGGTTAACTTACAACTAGGTGATTTCAATACTTACAAATGTGAGCAAGAAGCAATAATTGTAGATTTAAAAAAGTTAATCGAAACTTTAAGAACAGGTAATGCAAACTTGACTAAGACAGTTCTGGATTTAGAAAATTCTAAATCAAAATCTAGTTCAGCAGTGACAGGTTATTGGGCTAGTAAAGTAAAAAAAACTCCAGATCAAATGCAAATTATTAATACTATTGCAAATGAAACCAAAGAAAGAGATAAAAGAGAAAATAACTTGGTTTTTTTCGGTTTAGAGGAATCAACATTAAGTCAAAGCTACTGAAGAAGATAAACAAAATGTTGAAACAATCATGAAAAAGTTGATGGCCATTGTCAAAATAAAAAATTTTATCAAATTAAAGTAAAAAAATGGATATAAAGCTCCATATATTGTTGTTTTAAATGATAAATTAGAACGTAATTCTGTTTTAAAAAATCCCAAGGAATTCAAGAAAGATAAAACATACGAAAGTGTATTTATAAATCCTATATATATATATATATATACATATATATATATATATATATATATATATATATATATATATATATATATATATATATATATATATATATATATATATATATATATATATATATATATATATATATATATATATATATATATGAAGTGATAGAAAAACTCATGGAGGAGGTGTTTGTATTTATGTAAAACAATGTATTAATCAGTTTGAAACAAATAATTTACAGTTTAACAATAATTTTATGGCAAAAAATATGGACTTGTATATGTTTTAAAAATAACAAAATGCTAATTGGATGCATTTATAGACCACCAGATATATCTCATGAGTATAATAACTATGTTTTGCTATCTATTAATGCTGCTAAAATGAGTATTTATCAAAAAGAATACAGCAATCTTATTATTACAGTGATTTCAACTAAAATACAGTAGATTGGTCTGATAATAATTGTCCTTTTTCAGCAACTGATAATAATCTCAAACTAATAAATTTATTGAATGTTTTCAAGATTGTTTTCTGTTTCAATGTGTATGTGAGCCAACATTCCAAATAGCAAACTACAAATCAACTAATATTCTAGACCTTATTATCACAAACAATAAAAACAAAATTGTTTCTATAACTCACTCAGCTCCTTCAGGGAATGTCAAACAGGGTCATCATTTGTTAAAGTGTTGTTATCTAATGAATGATTATAAGTTTTCAACTGAACATAAGAAATCCATTAGATTATATCAAAAAGGAAATTATGAACTATTTTCTTGCCATTTTAATAATGTAGATTGGGAAAATGGATTTAAAAGTAAATCTATAAATGAAATGTATGATTTATTTTTGTATTAATACAATTATGCAACTAATCTGTTTATCCCAAGAATTAATTATCAAAATAGAAGGAACAGAAACAAATGGATTACTCCTGAATTGAAACTTAAAATAAGAACTAAAAACAATATATGGCTTGCTAATAAACGTAATGGCTGGAATGAGGAATCAACAAAAATTCAGTATAATAAGCTAAAAATTAGAATAAAGAATGATATTAAGAACAATATAAAATAATTAGAAAATACTTTAGCTAGCAAGTTTAAATCAAATCCTAAATTGCTTTATAAATATATCAATGAGGAGAAATCAGTGAAAACTCAAATTCGAGCTCTGGAAATTGATAATGGGGAAATCATAAATGATCAATTCGCTATAGCTACTGAACTAAATAAATATTTTCATTCTGTGTATGTTAATGATAATTGTACAAGTATTATTGAGTTTCATAATATACCTTCAAATTTATTATTAAACACAGTTTAAATAACACAAAATGATGTTCAAACTAGACTTCAAGCACTTGATAAGTCAAAATCAGTCGGTTTTGATTTTGTTCATCCATATGTTTTAAAAGAATGCAGCTCGTCAATATCATACCCATTATATTTAATTTTCAAAAAATCGATGGAAACAGGTACCCTACCAGATATGTGGAAGAAGGCAAAGGTAATGTTACTTTTTAAAAAAGGAAGCAAATTAAAAGCATCTAACTACAAACCAGTCTCGTTAACTTCAATACCATGTAAAGTGTTAGAAAGAATAATAGCTGATTGTATCATGCAACATCTCATAAAAAATAATTTACTTTCAAAAAAATAACATGTTTTTATGAAAAGCAAGAGCTGTACAACAAACCTATTAGAATACCTAGATATTTTAACAAATGCGTTCCACAATAGAACACAAGTAGATGTATTGTACACAGCTTTTAAAAAAGCTTTTGATAGTGTTTCACATAAAAAGTTATTATCCAAGTTATTGACTTTTGGTATTTCTGGTAAACTTCTTACGTGGATAGTCTGTTTTTTAGCTAACAGAAAACAAAGAGTGGTTTTAGGTAAAAGTGTCACAGATTGGGTTGATGTACTTAGTGGTGTACCACAAGGGTATGTTCCAGGCCCTCTCCTTTTTTTGGTATTTATAAATGATTTACCAGAAAATTTTATTAATGAATGTCGTTTATATGCTGATGATAATAAGATAATTGCACCTATTTCTTCTCAAAATGATTCACAATTGTTTCAAAATGATATAAATAAACTTGACGAATGGTCAACAAAATGGAAAATAGGATTAAATTTTGAAAAATGTAAAATTATGCACTTTGGTTCAAATAATAATAAATATTCATATTTTATGAACAATAACAATACATTAATGGAAATTGAAAAGTCAAAACTAGAAAAAGACATTGGTGTTTATATATCAAGTGATTTAAAATAGGCCAAACAAGTAAAATATGCAGGTAGTAAAGCAAATAGTATACACTCGCTACTAAATAATACATTCAAGTACATAGATAAAGATCTAATAAAAACACTGTATTGTACATATGTTAGACCAAATTTAGAGTTTTCAATTCAAGCATGGAGTCCGTATTATACAAAAGATATTAATGAACTAGAAAAAGTCTAACGAAGAGCTACCAAAATGATACCGGAGCTAAGACATCTTGAGTACAAAAAAAGATTGGAAATTTTGGGTTTGACTACTTTGGAGACTAGAAGGCTAAGGTGCAATTTAATCCAGCAATTCAAAATATTTAAAGGTATTGAAATCATTGATATTAAACAAAATCAAACAATGAACTCTATTTGCTCATTAGGTCCTGCAGCTAACATTAAAGGAGCTAAACTTCGAATGAAACCTGAATTGGTCAGAAATTGTTTGAAAAAGCAATATTTTTTCAGCAATAGAGTTGTCGATGGATGGAATAGTCTACCAGCCGAAGTTGTTCAATCTACTACAGTTAAATTCAAATTAAACTTGCAATCGGGCGACTTAGAAGCAATAACAAATAAGATAAAAACCAAGAAAGCTTATTATTAACGTTTTTATTATTTAGTGACTGAACTAACTTGTTCATTAATTAATTTATACCGGCTGTCATAGATATTGCCTGGCGCTTTATCTCAACAGCATTAATTATTAATTAATAATTATATATATATATATATATATATATATATATATATATATATATATATATATATATATATATATATATATATATATATATATATATATATATATATATATATATATATATATATATATATATATATATATATATATGTATATACATATATATGTATATATGTATTTATATATATATATGTATATATGTATATATATATATATATATATATATATATATATATATATATATATATATATATATATATATATATTTGTATAAAATTTTTAAAGTTTACCGCCTGGTAAATTTTAAAATTTTTTTTATTATTTTTTTTTACTTAATTTTTTTTTTTAATTTTTCAAGGAAAATTTACCGTTCTGTAATTAAAGTTTACCGGTAAATTTACGGGTAAATTTTGAATCAATTTTTACTGAAAAATTTACATCACTAAGAAAAAAAATAAATAAAATAAATCAACAATATATATATATATATATATATATATATATATATATATATATATATATATATATATATATATATATATATATATATATATATATATATATATATATATATATATATATATATATATATATGTATATATATTTATATATATATATACTATTGATTTATTTTTTTGTTCTTCATTACTATATTTATGATACAGATACAAATAATTTTAAAAAAAAAATGAAAAAGTAACAAGTCAAGATACCGTTAAGTAATAAAGAATAAAAATATTTATAAAGAACGCATATACTCAAAAAAGACCATCAGGTCTCGTCACAGAGAAAACGCTATTAAACGTTTTTTTTTTCTTTTTTTAATTTAATTTAATTTATTTTTTTTATTTTTTTTTATCAATGTTTTTATTCTTTGCATTTATTTATTTTTGTTCAATTTCTTTTTATTACAAAATTAAACTTAATAATAAAAGTATATAAAGTTCGTAATATAATATTATAAATAAACATACAATATTACAATATAAGAGTTCTAAAATGTAAAAACTATATTATGTTAAATAATTCACTAAAATAAATCATGTTAAATAATTGATGGTTATTGATAAAAATTAATTAAGCTTGTTGATAAAAAATAAATAAATAAAAAAGAATATACATTAAATATATACATATACTAATATAGATGAGGAATTTTCAAAAATTTAAAAGTAGATTTGTATACTTTCAGTTGAAAAAATGA